GCTTTGTGTTTGGACTTCCCTCGGGTCGGAGTGTCGCTGTTCGTTGTGGTACCCTCAGGAGTGGGGTTTCTCAGGAGGTCGTACAGGGGCTTCGCCTTCCTCGAGAAATCTTGTATATACTGCCGATAATATCCGAGTAGGCCAAGGAACTTGCGTAGCTCACCAACTGTAGCGGGTGTCTTGGTCCTTAGCGCCTCGACCGCCTCAGTGTCAGCAGGGTCCATTTTGTAACCATCGCTGGAGATGATTCGACCAAGATACCGTACCTCTTTCTGGAAAAGACGGCACTTACTTGGCTTCAGTTTAACTCCGTGGTTTTGGAGACGCCTCAGGACTTGACGAAGATTCTCAAGGTGACTCTCGAATGTTGTGCCATACACCAGTATGTCATCTAGGTACACTACGGCGATTTCTCCGACCAACCCCTCCAGACAGGACTCCATGCACCTCTGAAAGACTGCAGGGGCATTGGTCAGGCCAAACGGGATGCGGTTCCATTGGTACAGACCCCAAGGAGTAATGAATGCTGTCTTCGGGCGACTCTCCTCCTCAACAAACCCTTGGTGATACGCCTTTCCCTGGTCTAGGGTCGAAAACCACCTGTTTCCTCCAAGGCCATCAAGTACGTCTTGGATGCGTGGAATTGGCTGCCTGTCTGGAATCGTCTTCTGGTTCAGCTCTCTATAGTCGATACACAACCTTAGAGATCCATCCTTTTTCCTCACACAGACAACGGGAGATGAGTAGGGAGATTCTGATTTCTCAATCCAACCTCGTTCAATCAGGTCTCTCAGGTAGGACTTCACTTCTCCATATAGGGGTGGCGGAATTGACAAGTATGTTTTCTGTACTGGCCGGTCATCTTGAAGACGGATGTGCATCTTTAGGTCTGTGATGCAGCCCATGTCATGGTCATCCCGAGCAAATGCTCCTGCCTCTTCTCGCAACATCTGGACGGCAGCTTGACACTCATGCTCTGCTAGGTGGCTTACATCAACTGGGGGCACCCATGAGTTGCCATCGTGTCGTGTGGCTGGTGTCACTGTCATGGAGTGGACGGCTTTTGTTAGGTGTTCCTCTGGCTGACTGTTCTGTAGTCGCTCCATTGAAATTATCCCCTCTACAGAACCAATAGTTGTACGTCTCTTGAGGACGATGTCACAGTTGGAGAGGTTGGACACAAAGACGGAGATACATGTTTGCCTTCCCTCTTTTCTCAGCTTTACTACCGAAGGGTCCACATGAAGATCTTCCGGGAGTGCTGGTCCCACTGCCGGTTCAAAGAGAACTGTGGTGTCCTGAACTGGTACGCACAACCTTGTTCGGCAAGTTACCCAAGTAGAGCTTCGCTGGGGGATGGTCACATTCACATTTCTGACTTGCACACTGCCGAAGTTCTCGGGCTGTGGCTCCTGTATGAGGTCGACTAGCGCCTTCAGTTCTCGCCTTGCCATGGAGGGAAATGCCGCCTCAACAGCTCGAACTGGGTGACCCCTTTCATCCCCACCTTTTACCACCTCCTCAATCACATTATATCCAATAATGGGAACTTCTGTGGTAGAACGAGTCACCAAAACCGGAACGCTGATGACATGTCCCCGCCCTGCTGTCAACCCAAAGGTTACCTCAAGCCAGCCATCATAGGGAATTGGGGACCCATTTGCTGCTGTAAGGCTGAGCTCTTCTCCTCCAAGAAGTTCGGATAGGGGCCGTAAATTCAAACCTGGCAGATGGTTTGCTCTCCACTGTGCTGGTATGATGGAGACCTGCGCTCCGGTGTCCCACAAAGCTCTCGTCTTTACGCCCTGTATGGTACAGTTCACTAGGCACCTCTTACCAACGAGCCGGGCTACTTCTGTCTGCTTTGATGAAGACACATTGAACACATGGGGGGACTTGGAGGCTTTGACGTCCCTGGTTACTGCCCGTCCCTCGGCAGTAACCCCTCGTCGTTTCCCGACCTCGGTCTCCTTGTCCGGCACCCTCTTGCGAAGTGATCGCTGGACCCGCACTTGAAGCAGTGATCACACTGATCACCCCTGCCCAGTCTGTCACAGTTAGGGCAGCCTTGCCTCTGGGAGTACTGTCGTCTGCTAACTTGCCTGGGTTGCCTCTGGTCCTGTGGTTTCTTGGTGAGAGTCTCCTGAATGCCTGAGATTTGCTGCTTAAGGGTAGCAATCTCTGCAATCCCTGCTTTCAGCTCGGCGATGTCTGTCATCAAAGTGCCCTCCTTGGGCTTCTTCTTTTGCTCTTGAGTGGGGGCATTGCTTTGGACTTCGTGGACGGAGATAGCTTTGGTGTGCAATTTCTCTTGACGCTCCATCTCATGGCTTGCTGCTATGTTGGCCTTCTCAAAAAGAACCTCGTCAGGTGTCTTGGGGTCCAGCAGCAGGGGTCGAAGTTCATTCCTTACTGCTTCACTCCTGAACCCTGTGAGAAGTGCGTGCAAGAACATGTGCTGTACCAGACTGGGTTCATACTTCAGCCCGGAATCTGCCTCCTGTGATGCAAAGATGACCTTTTGCTTAAGGTCGAGGGCACGGATCAGAAAACTTTGAGCCGACTCTTTGCCATCTTGAGCTAGGCGAGATAGCCGATGATATAACTCGGTAGCGTCCTTTTCTTGGTAGTGGCTACGGAGAATGTGACGCAGTTTGGGCAACGTCAGCCCCACTCGCCCTTCGAGGTAGCTCCGAAGTGCCGATCCTGGTACCACGGCCCTGATGACGCCTTCCACAATCTCGTGCTCGGTATGCCCCTTTAGCCGGCCATGCTCGATTTGGTGAGCTAAGCTGGAGAAAGTGAGCCTATCTCGCTGACCTGGCTCACCAATCTGGCCCGAAATCTTGAACTCCCTCCTCGTTAGATGCAGTAGGCTGTGGGTCGGCGATGGGGAAGTGGTGACATCAGCAGGCTTCTGGTCGGAGGGAGGGCTAGAGACCTGGGGTGCTGAAGACAAGGGATCATCTCCAGCCGTAAGCTCAGTGAGCCAGTTCTGCAGTTCTTGATAAGCCGACATTCCCTCGTCCTCCTGCTCCTCCAGTTCCTCTCGCAGCAGATGACGGGAGATCTTCCTGACCAGCATTTTCGGGCTGTCTTCCTTTCCCTCAATGGTGCCATAACCAGGAAGATCAAGGTGTTGACACACCTTGAGGAGGGGCAGCTGGCCCAACTGACTGACCTGCTGCAAGAGGCGCTGGCAGAGCTCTTGTGGTGTCGTCGCCATCTATCGGGCTGGTGGGATGCACTTGGGCCAATCGTGGTTCGTTGGTCCCTCAGGCTGACTCCCCTGTTCCCCTTCTCCTATGGCTCCGGTATCACGCTCTCAGCTAACACCAGCTCCTTTCTCAACAGGTCGTGATGTCAGGCCTCGCCCCACTGCTACCACATCATTTCTGGGCTCGGTGTCGCTGGACAGGCGCTGTCATTCATCCCTGGATGGATGATGATGGGATGAACACACCTGTCCCTTCGTGGTCGCCAAATGTTGCACCCCGGGTAACACAAAGTGTTACACCAAAGGTGTACATTAAAAGAGTTTCACTCTGTAAGAAAAGGAACAGCACATGGACGCTAGTGCATGAGGAGTTGGAGTCTTTGTCCTCAGCTGAGTCATTCTGACTCTACATTTTGAAGAGTGAACATCAACTGCAACACCTCAACTCACTAGCGTCCATGTGCTGTTCCTTTTCTTACAGAGTGAAACTCTTTTAATGTACACCTTTGGTGTAACACTTTGTGTTACCCGGGGTGCAACAATAGATTCATTCAAACACATGATAGAGGCTAGTTGAATGCACCTAATATGGTTGTTATGCAGTTGTTAACGTTCTCAGAGATCACCACAACTGCCAGTGTCTGGAGTTGTACATGTTCACTGCCAGTGAAGATCTTGAGCAAATCAAAGTTGTAACAAAATTATGGTATCCAGATGACAAATAATTCACCAACAGGCATGATGGTTAGGAATTGGCCATTTGAGAAAATTGAACATGATAAACTGCTGGGTAAATTAATCAAAAAGGCAGTTGAGAAATACCTGTATGTGGCTGATACCGTTCACGGCCGGGGAGCTTTATCCCAATGTTTAATTCTTCCTCAACTTGTTTCTAGTTTAGGAGTAGGGCCACGTATGCAGAGGTACAGTCCACTAGCCTGGCCCTAATGAAGTTGAGTCTCTAACGTGCCACCCTTCGACATTTCCTTGACGTTCCTCATGCATCACTGCCAAACCTCTTTGCTGAAAAAAAATTAAATTCGTTCAGTTACAGTAAATAATGATATTATAACCCTTAAAATACATGGCACCGATCACCTCTGTGAACAATTTTGCTGTCATGAAAATCTAAAAACCTGAAATTCAAAATAACATCATCCAGAAATTGGCACAAATTCAGCTGACTGTTCCCTATTTGTGGCACACTTGAACAAATCTCTGAAAATGATTTTCAGAAAATCCCACATCCAACATAAAAAGTTCTTCAAAGCTGATAAATTCTAGCATTACCCCTAAATATACATACATACAAACTTTTTTTCAGAAAAGTCCGCGCAACATTAGTAGTTACTTTCTTCACTGTGGGTACATTTTCAAAGTGTTCATTTTGCACTTGAAAAAAAAAAAATAAAAATGGAAATCAGGTCGGTAGATCTACATACAGTACGTGATTGATGTAATTGCAAAGGCTTTGGAACTCAGTACAGTACACAGTGAGAGTAGCAAGTGGATAAACTCAAAATATTTTGTCATGTACGATGCAGGCCGACGTTGGCCTACATGATCATGGCTGTAGGACTATTGAAAGGTAGACCCATAGACAGGGCCTGACATATACATGTACTCCCCTGTCATATACTGGGCCCTGTCCCAATTCATAGGGACTTCTTTCAAAAATTTTATCCGGGATATCCGGGGGCATAACTAAACACCCGCTTGATTTTATGAGCTGAAATCGCACCGGTACATGTATGGTAACTACTTATGGGGTAAACTATCCCCTAGGAAACTAACTTGGAAGATTTTTATACAAGCTGCAGCCATGTGCCTGCCTTCCAGAGCTGACAAAACCGAGTTGACTTGGGACCAAGTTGACCTGAGACGGAGTTGACTCGGAGTGTGTTGATTCCACATTTCCAGACCAAGTTGGCGACTTCACACTGATGAGTAGACTGTGTGTTTACATTGCCATGTTTTGCCGGACCATCTCCGAATTTTTTTAAAAAGGCAATTTGTAGAGTCTACATGGTCGGTCTAAGTTGCTCAGACTATTATTAACTCTGATCTACATCATCCTGATGCAACCGTGTCAAATATCATTTCAACAATTCAAATACGCACAGCATGCCAAAGCGAAGATGAGGTTGTTGCTGTTGTTGGGCTTATATCATGGGATGGCTTACTATTACAGCTGCATGTGGGCACATCATCACACCCAACGACTTGCTTGGGAGGGATAAACAGTTTGCAAGATGTGTGGGCATACTAGGCCTACTAAACTAAAGTTACTCGTGTCATTTTCACAGGAATGGGCCATGTATGTACTGTAGGTGTTACGCCCCGACTATAGCATCAGTCCCAAATATAGTTGGGCCGGGCCCAACTAGCATGAGTATAGTTGGGCCGGCCCAACTATAGCACAGAGATCCAGTGTGCATGTGCCCGAGTCATATTGTTCACAATGTCATGTCACAGATGAAGTGCCATATTTTAGATGAACTGTGTCAAGTGCGAGACTTGTAAACCTGGATAAGGCTGAGAAATTTTCTATAGAAATTGGTCAACAATAGTTGGGCCAGCCCAACTACAGCACTACAGTTGTAACTTTTTGGGACAGACACTATAGTTGGGGCGTAAGCGCTAAAAGCGTGCCTAGTGTTGATCCTACTTTCTTACTGCATATCGCGTAGGTGTGCCAGCAATTCTTCAGAGACTAATTTCTTACGAGTTGTCTTGATGATAAAACTGATACACAAAGTTGCCAAAATAAACGGATTAAAGCGACCACCGTGCGCTCAAGATACCACACACGTGCAAGTGTGCCACCGCACATACTGTACTGCAGGGCATGTTGTTTGCATGCAGGGGCTGGGGCACTGTCCGTACCGCGGTACCGTAGTTCTGTAAATGGGTTTTCGATACAGCGCGCATGCACGAAGTGCCTGTACGTGTAGGGTGCACCACTACAAGTAAATTCCCATAGACAGCAGTGATAAATCCCCATACTTCACAAATATTTTAAAAATACTCACCACTCTCACAGGTATTCAGGCTGCACAGATAAATGATGTTCCACATGTCCTCTTTCATTTTCCTTTCAATTTTCGGGGGGTTGACCATGAATTTTTGAGAAATTTTCACCAGAAGCAGACCACCCCTAAAATGCAGAAAATGTCCCTGTCCAGAAAAGTAGCCATTTTGAAACCCCCCCCCNTCTAGGCCCATGTGGCTTCCAGGAAAGATTATGCAACAGGTAGTTTCCCAACTGCTGTTCCATGTCACATCCCACATCAGTGCACTCACTGTACACTAAACAGAAGTAGGCTTACTTAAAAAAAGGGGGGTCCAATAAACAATGAGAGACTGTGCCTCTGGTACACAACGGACATCTCAAGCTAATCTGTCCATGGTCTCTACACATACAGAAACAAAAATCCGGGAAATACAAATATTAATCAAACAGTTATCTTAAAGACTTTCCCACTGAAATGTCTGTTTTGATCGCAAAGGGGTGGAGGTGACCCTCGGTCGTTTTTGAGGTCGAAAAGGCGTGCGGCGCGAAATGGGAGTAGGAAGGTCCGGTAATAATCGTTTTTCGAACGCGCCTTCTTGTTTGTATTTTCTTACAATGCTTCGCCGAGTCTCATTTCCAATAATGGTTTCGGGAACATTGGATTTTGGCACGCATAAAATACTGAAATCCAAACGGTACAAAATTTTTTCTACTCTTCAGAGTGTCGTTTACGAGGTCGACTATGTTTGAACCTTTAATTACATTTCCATCATACACAAGTTCACCACTCTTATTCCAAGTCATGACGTCATTATTTTTAAGATTATCCAACAACAATTTCGCTTTGCGCTTTAAGATTTTCGGCACGCTCTCGAGAATCTGAAAGTGTCAGGTCACTCGAGCCGACCTCGGTGGTAGTCTCCTGCCCAGCCAGCGGAGTTTCTTCGTCCGGTGATGCTGCTGCTGTTCGGCCGTCGCTAAGTCCCGACGACGGTGTGGACATTGTCACAGACATGGGCTCAGTTTTGCGAGCATGATCGTACTGTAGATACTTCTGCAGATGCTTGCGTTTGGAATGAGAAGACTTTTTCTCCGCTAGCTTTCTGAGATGTTGCTTGTAACGCGCCAGTTTTTTCTTCTGACTAGAGGTCAAAGGCACACGTCCTTTTAACACGTTCAGTGCACACTCGCAAATACAGGTCATGAGTTCTTTGTCAGCATTCTTTAAGATATTTTTTCTTCTCTTACTGGAAGATTTGCTCAAAATGTGCAGCGAGTGCAAATTGTCCTTCAGCCTTCGTGTCATGGTTGCAAATGAGGAAGACGAGCAAAAAAAACCCAGCTTATTTAGGAACATAGGCAAATGCCGTGTCTCCCGGGAAAATGTTGGCTCTCAGCCGGTATTCTTCGGGACAGTTTGGTTTCAGATCAATAAACAAGTAGGAATAGGGCTGGCTGGTAGCGTCTGCGTAGGCTTCTACCATGAAGGGGGTCTGTCCGGGGTACATCTGCTTGGCCAGGTGAACGATCTGCGATCTATCCCTGGGGTTTTTAAACAGGACTATGTAATGACAGTTCAGACTGACAGTTCAGCTCTCTTTGGACTGGTGAAATAAGTTCTGCACTATGTTTATCACTGATAGGTTCCGGTGATGCGATCCTTTCGTAAACAGTTTTGTAACTTCAGGGTCTTTCCCGCATTCGTGCATTAAATCGTCCAAAACCACTAGATTTCGCTGCGATGGGTCGATGGCCTCTGACCAATCCTCCGGCAACCCCTCCACAAACTGAACAGTAGGTAGATCGCGAGACAGTTCCTCGTAAGCCGGCTGATGCTGACCATAACACCACAAAATTCTCTCAGGTGCATCCACAAAGACATCGTGACGGTGTCTTATTAATTTACTGACTCATTGAGTCTTACCGCAGCCAGTGGGTCCCGCTACGCAAAATGTTGCGGGGTGTTGTAACTTCAAACCCATGAGAAAAAAATGAT